ACTACCACTATGACGACGACGACTACTACTACTACTACTACTACTACTACTACTATACTACTACTACTACTACTACTACTACTATTACTGTCACTGCTACTTCTTCTGCTACTACTCCTGCAACTCCACGTACAACAACGGCAACCACCACCACCACCAGCGCCACCCGATCCCTACCGCTGCCGCCACCGCCACCGCTGCGGCTGCTGCGCTACCGGCTACCGCTACCTCTACCGCTACCGCTACTACTACTGCTGCTACTACTGCTTCTACGGCTACTACTGCTACTGCTACTGCTAACGCCACTGCAAATGCTACTGCCACTCCTACTCCTACTCCTGCTCCTTGCTCCGGCTCCTGCTCCTTCCTCCTGCTCCTGCTCCTCCTACGTCGACGAAGACGACTGCGACTGAGACTACAGCAACGTCTATGGCTACCGCCGTGGCTGCGACGACTAGGACTCCTGCTGTGGCTACGACTGCGACCACGACGATGACTACGCCTACGACTAAAACCACCTTCACCAAGTCTATTGGTACTACGGCCACGGTCCACTCCCATCCAAGAGGATCGGTGTTGGCTGTCGGATATCGCGAAGGCTTGAGATTAGGGTCAACCAATCTCGTTTTGGTTTTTGGTGCATCAAGAGTTTTCAAAATCTTAGCAGACGTGTAGGTCCATATTGTCATAAATCTGGCTTGCATTGTGTCGTCATGCAAAGGCTGGAAGGGCGACGAGATAGTCGCCACAAACTACGTCGAGGTTGGCATCAAGCTCCCGAAGGCACTGGCCATGTGTCACAAGTTGAACCGCTCGAGCATCCGACCTGCTTCGAGGTGCCCGGTCTTACGAACATCATGGAATATTTTGTCAAGAGTTATGGAACGCAGCACGAGTCTCAGTGAGGCGTGAGGCAAACAGGGTGCGCGAGTGTGCGGCGCAGACCAGGTCTACCCAGGACTGCACAGATGCGCTCGCAAGAGCTGCGGAGGTTGCAAGGCCTCCAGAGTCCGTGCCTCAGAAGTCATTTCCCTGTCTTCTCGGTTCCGTCCCTGCTCTGGTGGGGATGCGTTCATACCGTTCATACCTCCACAAGTTCAGGACACCGTTGCAAATCGTCGAAGAAAAGGTGAAGGACAGTCCTTTATGTGCTGGTTGCAGGCGGTTCGGAGGCTATCAGCTTGCCACATCCTCGTTTTCAGGAGCTCTTCACCCCCTTGACGGGACCAGAGCCGGAGGAGGCCGAGACGCAGCCTGCGGCCTGGATCGTCTTTGTCACCTCTTTGGATTATGCTTTGCTCAAACTCACCAGGCCGGAGACTGACGCCGTCGATCCGGAGGAGGCTCGCGAAACGCAGAATAGCAAAGATGGGAAGAAGTTCTTGCATAGAGGTCGGGCTCACTCTGCCTTCGATAGCCGAAGCTGAGCCAGCTCCCCCTGAGGAGTCAAGGTCTCAGCTCTGCCTTGGATGCTTAGTGCAAAAGGTCAAGCTTATGGCTATGGTGCTACCGAGGCAAGCTTCAAGCGAAGATCCGCTGCCGCCGGTCGTGTGTGAACCCCAGAAGCTTCTCTGTTCCACAGCGCCAAAGGGTTTCGGTAGATGCGAATTATGAGAGCAATGTACACTTCGACTTGACGCCCCAGTCTCGAAGACGGGAGGTCGCGACACTGCGAAATTGAAATGGAAACCAGTGGCAGTCACTTGCGAATCGCGCCCCTTTTGGGATTCTGCGTCTCAGAGGCCGGGCATGGAGGAAGCCAACCTCGTCGTCCGAGTCAAGATCGACCCCAAGAGAAGACTAGTGGAGGATCTTGGGGCAGAGGCGGGTTTCTGCAGCTTTCCGAATGGCTTCAGCTCTCGTCCTGGCTCCTTGCAGGGCGCCGAGAACCTGATGGCCGGCTCCAACCGGCAGATCCTGGAGGAGGGGGGGCCCTTTAAAGGGGGGTCTTAAAGTCTTAAAGGATGGGGTCATGGAGGCTTCTCGCGTGAAGGTTTTAAGTCTAAGTCCGTCCTCTGCGCCTCTCTCTCGGCCTCTCTCTCTGCCGCTCTCGCTTTCTCTGCTCGCTCATGCTCGCCGATGCTCCGTCTTCTCGAGGCAATGGCCCAGGAGGGATGGGAGGCCCATGCATTCGCGTGGTGTGTGGGTGTGTGTGTGTGTGTGCCGTGCAAGACAGTTTGTATACTGCCCTCAGCGTCTCTCTGGTGTGGAGGTGGAGGTGGTCAATGAGCCTCGAGCCAAGTGGGGCTTTGGCGTTGGACTTGCCTCGCGGTATCGGGAAATGCGGTCTAGGTCTGAAAACCTCTACATGCTCTCGTTGCCGCCCGGCCCTTGCCAGCTCCGGGGAGCCTTTGTCCACGCGCTGCTGCCGCAGGCCCGTGCTCTACGAGGTCATGGGGAGCACCATCTCCATCCCAGCAGGAGGGCTCAGAAGGGCCTGGTTTACCAGAAGTTTTAGGCTCCCTGCAATTCCCGGCTCCTGTGCCCAATCACCTCGCGCCATTCCCGGGTTGGGAGACTCTTGAAATACTTGAGAAGTCCCTGGACGTCCGCGCTTTCTATCCAGTGTTGCGCTTCCCTCAATACTAGAAGGTGTAGCCGTGTAGCCTCCTCTGTCAGAGCCCTCCTCGAATCTAAGCAAGAGTTTTGGCTAAGGCTCCAAGATTTCTGACGACCCTACGAACCACCACGGGGAGAGACGGGGGAGAAAGCTCCTACAAGGACGGTCAAGCTTGGTGCGCATGCTGCAGACCTGCTTCGCTGGCTTCAAGACTTCTCGCGGTGTATGTTACATCCGGACATGTTGTAGGATCGGCTGGAGGGAGACCTCGTGCTGCAGAACGGAGAAAACATCTTCACCCTGCAGTTGGGATTTCCGTTCCGATCCACGCTCCAGCCCGAGAATATTCGGCCTCCTTTTTCACCCCTAGGCTTATCCCGCTGGTTCAGGCTCACCATCTCCGCAGCTGGTTGGACGCGGGCCACAGTTGGCGGCAGCCTGAGATGTAGAAGTTTTCCGGTTGGAAAACGGGTGTGCAGGGCCCATCGCTGAGGCTGGGATGGTGATGAGATCGTCACTTCCAACTATGTTGAAGTTGGCATCAAATTGCCGAAGGCCTGGCTGGATGTGCTGCTTTTTTTGAGCTCGCCAGCGCACTCCAACCACTAGCCGCGCAGGTGCCCGGCCTCTCGAACATCATGGAATATTTCGTGAAGAGCTACGGCACCCAGCCAGGGGCTTTCAAAGTGCAGTCCACCAGTGAAAATCAGCGAAACACTACACTACTTCTTTCCCTGCCAGGTCTACCCAGGACTGCACCGATGCCATGGCCAGAGCTGCTGCCGTTGCGCGGCCTCCGGAGACCGGCTCCCAGCTCTGCAGAGCCGTGCGCAGCTCATGCAAGAAGATGACCAGGCAGCATCATCACATATCATCAGCATCATCCGCTTCGTTCCCGTGGCACTCGTCGCTAAGTGTCGATGATGACGATGATGATGACGATGGTCATGGCGGTACTGATGCTGGTGATGATGATGCTGATCGTGTTGCTGATGGTTCCTGGGTCTTCTTTGCGTATTCCTTGTTGTTATTGGTTTTGGGGTGTGTTGCTTTATGTATGCAACGAAACAAAAGAAAGGGCAGACTTATAATGGGCTGGCCATGGTTTGCCATGAGCCTTACACGACGTATCAGATCTGCTACAGCAGGGCACAAATATGGCGCGCTGGCAGATCACGCGGTTGGACACAGGGCACGAACCAATCAGACAAGGACGAATCAGATTAAACAGAACCCAGCACAAAGGGTTTAGATTGTCGGGTTTAGGACTCGGGATTTCAATTTTAGTGTTTCGAAGGGGTTTTGGAGTTCAGGAGCTTCGAGTGCTCGGGGTTTTGGGATTCGGGGCACAGGGTTTTAGGGTTTAGGAGTTTAGTATAGTATAGTGGGATTTTGGTTTAGGCGTTGCTTCTTTGTGGGGGGGTTATATAGCGTTTAGGGTTTTGGGTGGTTCAAGATTGAGGCGTCAGGGTTTCGGGTTTAGAGGATTGGGTGAGTGTCTAGGGCAAAGTCAACGGGCACGAATCAGATCAAAGAGAAGCCAGAAATAAGGTTTTTGGGTTCCGGGTGAAGGAAGGGCCATGATTGCTTTCTGTCAGCAGCGAGGAGGGAGAGTGTTTCCATCAGCTTGCAGGCAAATTGCACAAGCATGCACAAGAAGAGCGTGCATCAGCTCCGTCAGCAGAGCACGAGATTCGGTGGACAGGTATGGACACCAGATGCTATGCATTTTTTTTTTTTTTTGGGCGGGGGGG